CATTCCTGTTCAGGGACACAAACATGAAGGAAAATTAGCATTGAACAGAAACAGTTTGGACACAAATGCATTCACTCACAGATGTCACATTTCCTGTGAAATGTCAAACTTTGACACTGCTCGGACTCTCCAGAGAAAAGATGTGTGAATTGAGAGAACAAAGATTTTTGTTTTTTTAGCACGTTAAAGGACTTTATCTCACCTTGGCATCATGAATCCCTGAGACCTCCTCAAAGGTCTTCTCTCCTACCATGACAGCAGCAAGGTTGGCAGTGTAGCTGGACAGCACCAGCAGACAGAAGATGGCCCACAGGTTCATCAGGAACCGACCTGTCCAGCACTTTGGTGTCTTTGAGGAGACAGTGCGCCCAAACAGGATGGCGTAGCACAGGTTCAGAGCAGATGAGTATGAGAACACCTTCATCCTGTTGCGTCCATGAGGCGTCATGCCAAATGGACTCTTCCACTCATATAGTGTAAGGAAGAGCGCTGTGATGTGCAGTGCCAGGAAGATGCCCACCCACATGGACCAGTGCAGGGGCCACATGAAGGCTCCAATAGGGGCTGCTGTGTCCTTACTGCGCACCAGGATGCCCAAGCTGGTGGAGAAGAAGGGCGAGGTGAAATCAATAACCTGACTTCGTGCTGAATTGATACTGAAGGAGGTGACCGCCATGTCTGCCAGTCCGTTCAGAAGATCCCCCACCAGTCCAGTCCAGCGGCCCCCCTTCCATGCACCGTACTTCCCATCTCCGACAATGTAAAGATCAAATTCAAAGTCCAAATCCTCAGCCAGCTTCTCCAACAGGTCAATGCAGTATCCATAGCAACACTTGTTGTACTCTGCAGGCAGAGAGCTGCTGTTCCCTCCCACCACCTCTTTGAAAAACCTCTCCAGGGTCTCTGAGCTGTTGGTGCCAGCATCCAGGCAAAACTGACCAGCCGGGCAGCTGCCCTCATCATCCACATTCCGTGTGAACACAAAAGGGTGCTCCACCAGAGTCACCACCCGGACCCGACTCCCTGCCACTGGTATACCTGCTTTCCAGTAGCCCCTGGTCCTCCCACCTGTTCCCTCTGTCCTGTGCCAAAATTTGGGTCCCTGCCAGACTCCCTGGTCCTCTACTCGTAGCTGACCCCTATCCCACCTGCCCACTGTCACCCAGGTGGGCTGACCCAGTGCATCCTGCTGCAGGCTCCAGATGTGGAACCGCTGTGAAGTGAGGATCTGAGACTGGTTCTGCTGGACCTGAATTGGACCCGTCAGACCAGAAAAAGACATGTTGGACAGAAACCTAAAGAAGAGGAAAAAAACAACAAGTAACGCACAGACCTACGAACGGGTCTCTGGGTAGAGTGATGGTTCATAGGTGAATTAATGCTCAAGTTGTGACCTTTTATCCCGTTTGATCTGTGATTATGCTGATCCAAAGTTTTTATACTGCAGAGAACAGAACTGATATACAGCAGTTTTCTTTTATTGGCTGAATACTAACAAATAATATCAAAATAGAGTTGTTTAGATCAGCTTTTCTTTGAGGACCCATCTTTATAATTTGTCTCTGGGCTCCGTCTAGGCACCTCTGTTGTTTGACCTTTACATGCTTAGACACAACATATTAACAAGTCGATAATCTGAATTATGTAAATGATTAATTATTGATCAATCAGATGAATACTGTCCTGATGATCTGATTGATCAGTTTATCCCCACAATGTCAGACACTGGGAAAAGGTTCCACTGTGACTCTCCAGAGCCAAAGGTGGCGTCTTTACATCTTTTTGTGTCCAACCAGCAGATCCACAGACTCAGCTGATTCTCATATCTGACAAAGAAAAGCATCAGCCCCTCACATTAAAAAAGGTGGAACCAGAACATGTCGGTGACTGTTGCTTCTAAATAGCTGCTGGTTTCTACCAGTGAACTCTCCAGCTCTAGGTCACTGAATGGCTTCATGAGGACGACAGTGGGTCAGACACAGTGAGGGGATCTGGTTTGGAAGGAGGGGGTTTCCTCCTCCGACAGAGGAGACCTGACGCTGCTCTGGAGACTCGGCCCTGATAATTCAATTCAATTTTATTTGTATAGCGCCAAATCATAACAAAAGTCATCTCAGGAAACTGCTAAGTGAGGTCTAGACCTTACTATTATTAATATTATAAAGGGAAAAACCCAACAAATCCCTTTGAGCAGCATTTGGTGACAGCGAGGAAGAAAAACTCCCTTTAATGGAAGAAACCTCCGACAGACCCCAGGTTTTGGTGGGCGGCCTTCTGCCTCGACCAGTTGGGGTGAGTGGATAGAGGAGAGAGAAAAGAAGAAAAGGAACAAGACACAACAACAAACAAACACTGGTCAGGTTGATGTGGCTGGTGACTGCTCATCAGAAACGTAGAATTCTAGAGCCAGGGCTACCTGTAGAAAGGTACAAGGAGAGAGAGAGGACACACTACGGGAGAGAGGAGACACACAATTAGTGACAGGTAATGGTGGCAGATAGATGGATGGAGAGGGAGGAGAGAAACTCAGAGCATCATGGCCTCCCAGCAGCCTACGCCTATAGCAGCATAACTAAGGGAAGGCTCAGGGTCACCTGGTTAGGATGTGGTCTAAGAGACATGTTGATGATTTAGCAATTGTTGAGGTCAACTCAGAGGGATCTTTGGGAAAGAAGTAGCCCAAGTATAAATGAGGTCTGACACATGTTTCTAAAGCATTGTAGTAGATGGCACATCCATGAGAGCTGTGGGAATAGTCCGACCAATTTTTTCTCTAATAGTTGTGATTTTATTTGTAAAGAAGCTCATGAAGTCATTGCTGCTGAGATCTAAGGGAATGTTAAGCAGCACTGTGGCTCTTTGTCAGCCTGGCTAGTGCTGAAAAGAAACCTGGGCTTGTTCTTATTTTCCTCAATCAGTGATGAATAAAATGTGGTTCTGGCACTACGAAGGGCTGTTTTTATGTTATTAAACTATCTTTCCAGGCTATGAAAAACTCTTCTGACTTAGTGGAGAGCCACCTCCTTTCCAGTTTTCGTGATGCCTGCTTTAGGGAGCGGAGCTACGAGCTGTACCACGGGGGCCTCCTCTGTTTTACTGCCTTCCTTTTCGGAGGGACAACAGTATCAAGTGTGGTACACACGGAGGCTGCAGCACTATCAACAAGATTATCGACTTATGTGGGAGTAAAGTTAAGATGGCCTCCCTCCACTGTGTTGGCAAATATCACTGAAGTAAATAATGATGGAATTATTTCCTTAAATTTGGTAACACCATTGTCAGATAGACATCTACTATAGTGGAATTGTTTCCCACATAGAGAATAATCCATTAATGTAAATTCCATCCATTCATTTTCCTCCACTTATCTGGAACCAGGTCACGGGGGCAGCAGTCTAAGCAAAGATGCCCAGACTTCCCTCTCTCCAGACACTTCCTCCAGCTCCTCCA